TGTTTTAAAAACTTTTCACCATAAAAATGCGGTCTCACTGACCACGATACCAGTATTAAAAAAAATTATTCAATGAAATTCATATTATATTGTTGTATTCAATTATTTTCCTAATATTAATACCATCGGGAAGGAAAATTATGAATTTTATTTTATTTCAGACAGTGCGCAATCGTGTCTTGTTTTTTATTAGGTTTTCTACCGACAGAGTAGACTGCATATACCATCGACCCAACCAAGGGTTAGGTTAGTTAGCTCACGGGGGGGGGATGAGGGTGTCATACCCCCCATAAACTTTTTTTTATGCTTGATTTATAGTTCTTTGATAATTTCGGTTTACTCCAAAAAAAATTTAGTGTTTGTATCTGTTCATGTTCATCCTCCCCCCATAGGAAAAAACTGAGCACGCCACTGGACCCAACTAGATGAGAGGGGCTAGAAGGTTAGCGCCTTGCCGCCCTAACATATAGATTTAGCGCTCGATTAGTTTTACTTTGATTGTTTCTAGGCTTGCTTGTACAACATATAATATAGAGTTTAATAATTAATTGAGTTTATTAATTACATTATTGCTTCCATAAGTTTTTTGTTGGGGCCCTCCCCAAGAATAAAATGTCGTCTCTATATTATATAGTTGAGCTAATGCTTCGGCCTACAGACACGCCGCCGCGCCGTGTCGCCTTGTCGGCGAGTCGTTTGTTTTTGTCGGGACACCGGCAACCGCTGCGACCGAATAGGTAGGTATATAATATTATACACTGTACACAGACAAACAATTACGCCGACAGAGATGTCTCGTGTCTGCGTACACGTCTGTGAGTGTATAATAATAATAATGAATATGCATGTGTGCAGTCTGTATAACGCATTACTACGAACGCACGCGGAAACTCGCGAGTGGGTTGGTGCGCCACACACACGCCAACCGGTTTTTTACGACGTGCCGCGGCACACGGGTACCGCGTCCAAAGACAATGAAGCGCACGCACGCACACACTAACTCACTTATACATCGCCTCCCGCACACATAAACTTGTGAGCGCAGGGTCAATCGCATTCTTCACCCCCCCGCGAACGATTTACTCGTACTTTTCTGTCTTCTCGTCACATATCGGTGTTCTTTTGTTAACATGCGTCTCCCACACACACACACACACCGCGGCGGCGGCGTCCAAGGCCGATGTATATATTGTAATATATTATAGGTACATTTTATTTAATTGTAATTGTATAATAACTTATAATCTCAAATTGTGACCTGCATAATTATTATTAATTTATATACTCGAGTGATTCACCTACTACCAAGACAGTATTCTCACCACATTTTGTTGTCAATAATGTAGGTATTCAAAATCTGATTTGAGGAATTTTTAAATATACGACCTATACTAAAATATCATATTTTAAAATTCTTGAGATCTTCTGTACTACCCCTTCTTTTCTACTGTAAATTATTTAGTAGATAGTTTATCGGAAAATGTTGACGAATCAGAATCAAAATCCATAGAAGTAGTTTTTGAGTTATTTAACTGAATAAGACGTGAGAGCTATGGACCTACGGTGATTTGAAAATTGTTGTGATTAATATTAATCTATTAACATTAATAATTTGTAAACATTTTATGTAAATAACTCTACTTCTAACACAAGCTCCGCTTAAAGGAATTATACATAACAATCTAATGTAATAATATATTGTTTTATTTTAAATAAAAAAAATGTTAATATATAATGTTATATATTAAATGAAATTATATATTTCTATCTATGCATAGCAGCATAAGTGGCATTCAAGGCAGTCACGAGGGGGCAGTTGCCCCCCAGAAAAAATATTGAGATGTCAAACTTATCATTTAAAATGGGTCAATAACCCCCCCCCCTCCAACAATAAGAGCCAAGTACCGCCTATATCTTCGAGGCTATAAAAGAACGATTAATGGATGCATGAGCTTACCTCATCTGCTTACTGCTTACTGCTTACCCAATGTATTGAAAAAAAGTAATGACTAATGAGTCCAAGGCATAGACGCAAATAGAGGGGGGGCTAGTTGAGCTTAGCCCCCTAGAATTTCTATTGCCCCCCAAAAAACAAATGATTTCACTACTATAATTTAAAATCGGCATAAGAGAACCTATCAAGTTAGACCTGAGCTTTAGCTTGAGCCTTGATCCTACCCCTCAAATTATAAACACTATTTATGTCTATGATCCAAAGTCATTTTAAATCAGTGATCACTTGTACCTCTTTCGGACCTGACCTGCAGTTTTCCTAAACGGATAATCTTGGACTCCCCTAATCCCTAGATACCTGAGTCAAGTTGTTAAGTTTGATTTTTTACATACTTGGACAGAGCATAAAAAAAATAGAAAGAAAAACTTATCTTAGAGCTTGCGCTTATCTTCACATGCTAAGGACTCTCGTATTCTTATTCAATCGAATGTACCTATCGTTAAATATTACACGTATTCTCTATAATAAATTAATTTAAGATTTAATAGGACGTCACACCCGTATGTGTTGTCTCCGTCTTACAAAATATACCATAGTAATTATTCATTAATCAGCGAACCAATAATAAACTGTGTAGTTAGCTTTAATATCAGAGAGAATTGAAATAGCTATGATTAAATTTAAAGGTAAAAACATTATCAGTGTTTGTACCTAAGTAGGTTTTTTATGATATTTAAATTTCAGTGAAATATAATTAAAATCCTGAAATTCGGTGTGTAAGATGTCATTGAAGTTCGCTGCGGAAATTGTGTGAGAAGTGTTATTCTTTTTGAAATGAAGAAGCTGAGTGTTTATTTTAGGGGACCATTGCCCGAAGGGGGTTGTCGTAAAAGGAGAGAAGGTGTCGGTGTTGATAAGGCAGTTTAAATTTTTACATAGTTTCATGCATGTATCAGTGATTTTTTCTTGTTTCTTTGATGTTCTGAGACTAAGAGAGGAGGTGAATACTTGTGATGCCATGTGGTGTTCGAAGTTTTTTTTTTTGCCATGTATTTTAAAACTTCTTTATTTCTTTGAATCTGTAGAGGCGGCTCGCAATACAAAGAATGCTAGGAACTAGGCTAGTACGGAAAGCTCCTCTGGAAAGTCTGATTCCTTCATTATGGATAGGGCCAATAGTGCGCAAGATGTTATAGTTGGCTGAGTAGTAAATTAATTTTGGATAAGATGAGCTATTTGTATATGGTGAGAAGGCTATTTTTTTTCCGAATCCCATGTATAATGAGAAAGCGTTTTGATGACTTTCATTCTATTCTGACATTCAGTTTTGAGATTTTTGAGGTGAGGGGCCCATGTGAATTTGATGTCAAAGTTCATTCCGAGTATGCGGATGCTTTCAGTGTATTCGATTTTAGAGTTGTTTAGGTATACTCGTACATGGTATCGTGTGTCGTTTTTTTTTCTGTCATTGAAAATTATGCCATAGGTTTTGGCTGGTGAGAACTTGAGGCCTGTGATGGGGGACCAGTTTAGATTTTCCAATTGCTATATTAGTGTTGATAATTTGTTAATCAATGCAGATTTGGTGTATGGGTAGAGTATATTCATTGGGAAGTTCTAATTGGTTTTATGTCATGAACTGGTCGACAAGGCAGGAGAATAGATCCCAGTTTGGTTGGTGATTTGAGTTTCCATTTATTTATAGGATTTGTTTTAGAAGGTTGGTGAAAAAGTTGTAACTGTATTGGCCAGTGGTCGCTTCCATTGTAGGTTGAGAGGGTGTTTCATTCGATATTTGGGGCAATGTTTGAGCTTGCTATAGATAGGTCAGTTGCTGATAGATTTCTATTAACTGCATTTTGTCTGGTAGGGCTACTATTGTTTATGAGTATTATGTTCGGTTTTTCAAGAAATTTCTCTACTGTTTTCTCTCTACTACCCGTATAGGAGGTGCCCCATAATGTATTGCGAATTTATTGTTTATGGCGTATACGTCTTGTACCTACGTTTGTACAAGACAGAGACATTAGACAAAATATACGGGCGTGAGGTCCTCTTAAAACCTATTAGATATACACCATACGGAATTGTCATAACTCATAAGGCATTAAGGCAAGAAAAGGATCTCCAGAAAAAAGCATTCTAACATAGCAAGTAACAACTATAATATAATTATTTCAATCTAAATGCCTGCGAAAAGTCACAAGGTCACAAAGGTCCACGTGTACGTCACAAATTTATCACATTTCATAGCGTTCGACCTTAAAGACTCAACTTTATACTTTTAAACTAAACGCGATTACCGAAATTACAATATTCTTATACAAGTACCTATAGGTGGTACTGTATAGGTACAACAGATTTCACAAAAACTCCACTTGTCCACTACCATGATAAATCATTTGTTGTATGCAGCTTCAGTGGCGTAATTTTATTTTTTTTTGGGGGGGCGGGGAATTGAAACTTATACCCCCCACCAACCAAAAAAAATTTGGTTTATATCATAAAAACCTCAGTCCGACCATTGGAATCTGTAATCTGTATAATGTAAGTAGGGTACATGTATAAATGCACGCATACATGAAAATAAATAATAACATACTATTTAATATAGTATTATAAATGTACTTTTTTGAGTAGATTTATGGTCCGTGGAATAATTTTCGTATGCGTAATATATAGGTAGGTACTCAAGATCCCGAACTTCAAAATGTTATGATCTTGGAACTAAGTCCGACTGACAAATTCGGATTGTACTATTGTATTTAACTCGTTGAAATACAGTCGATTCCGCTTTATTGGGACACATCGGTTGGGTGTTATTTTGTCCCAATAAAGCGGTTGTCCCAATAATCCGAAATGAAAAAAAAAACATATAAATTTATTGAAAAACTGATTTTTTATGTTTTTATTATTACAAATACATATTAGTTATTACAATAACACAATTATAGAAATTTCTTAATTATACAAAAAGAAAAACATACTATTATAACCTAAATATTCATAAAAGTACACACATATATATATATTTTATTATTTTATCTTATTTAAAAAAATTATGAATATTACTTTGTTTTTTACATTTTAATGTTTGTTGACGAATGTAGTCCGAACAAGTATCCAAAGCACTTATCGGGCTTTCTTCATTTCCTTGTTGAAGAAAAAATAATCGCAATGTTTCCAAAGATTTCTTTGCCTCATGTAGTCGGATTGGTGGATCTGGTTCCTCGTCAGTGTCTTCATCTGAATTATGTTGATCTTGTATGGATTGAATAATTACATCATCGACGTATTCATTTTGGTCATAACATTGTATATTTGAATCCAGTTGTTCAAATTCTACGTTATTTAGCACTCTTACGTTATCATTTTCTTCGGAATTAGGTTCCAACTGTTGATCGATGTTATAACTTTCCTCCAAAAAATCACACTTTCGAAAACAATTTTTGATTGTCTGACTACTTACATCACGCCAGCTGTCTGAAATAAATTGAATTGCTTGTAGGATATTAATTTTTTTACTGATATCTATTGCTGTTGATTTTGATTCAAGTAAATTGTCTTCAATCTTTTCTAAAATGTAATTGACCAGTGTTGCTCTATACTTAACCTTTAAATTTTGGATAACACCCATATCTAAAGGCTGAATTAGTGATGTTGTATTAGGTGGTAAGAACTTAAGCTTGATGTTTTTCAAAGATATATTAGGATGGGCAGTACAGTTGTCTAAAACGAGACATATAGCTTTTTTTGTTTTGTTCAACTCACTATCCCAACGTTGCAACCAATCGGTAAAAATGGCCGAAGTCATCCATGCGTTTTTATTTGCATGATACTCAACCGGTAATTTTTGTAAAGAAATTTTTTGAAAACAACGAGGTTTTTTACTTTTTCCTATCACTAAAAGTTTTTTTTTGTCAGTCCCACTTGCGTTCACACAACAAAGTATAGTTATTCTGTCCATAGCTTTTTTTGATCCAGCTATCGATTCGTGTTTAAAACACAGAGAACCATCTGGAGTTGCACGATATTACAATCCTGTTTCATCTGCGTTATAAATATCATCGAGAGAAAATTTTGCAAGAATCTGTGGTAATTTTGTAAATTTCCATTCATCGGCATACTCTGAATTTGCACTAGCTTTTTCACCATGTGATCTTTTTAATTTTATATCGTGTCGTACTTTCCATCTAGATAACCAACCGTCGGTGGCTTTGAATTCGTCATTACCAAGTTTCTTTGCAAGGTCTTCGGATTTAGCTTTTAATATAGGACCCGACACTTGAACGCCCCGACTAGTAGCCAGTGTAAACCATTGTGTAAGTGCCTCGTCTACATCTGCATCTTTACCCTCTCATTGTTTCCTTTTCCGCGTTGTCACTTGGCTAAGAGCTTGTTCTCGCAAAAACTGTTCTTGTAGTTGAATTCGCGCGATTGTTGATTTTGATACTCCTAAAATTTCTGACAGACGACGAGTACTACAGCCTGGTGGCTGTAATTTAATTTTATCTAGAATATCTAATTTTTGCGCAAGCGATAAATCCTTACGTATACGAGACATCGTTACTGCACGCGACAAACGCGAGTACGTGACTAATGCACTAAATAACATTTAACACACGTCACTTTTGAACATACGATAAGATAAAATGTATATAATTTAATCTAAAATAGATTAAGCGAGTCGTTCGCGATTGTCGGACTATTGATCTATTAATATTTAATATTATACTCGATAAAAATGTCCCAATTACCCAGATAAGCGGCGTACTTTTACATTACAAGTATACATTTGTTTTTGTAATTGAAGAATTGTCCCTATTAAGCGGTTGTCCTTATTAACCGGTGTCTCTATTAAGCGGAATCGACTGTATATCTATTACCTATAGGTTTCCGAAAAAAATAACCAAAAATCGGCTAAACTGCATTATTTCAATACATCTGTGGTTTAATATACAGCTATATCATTAGTTACTTGATCGACTCAAAGCCAGTTTTATTTAATTTTTACATTTAATTCCTTACATTTTGGAATAGTAATGATTTTGGAAATTATGTAGATAGGTACATATTATTATATAGTGTATGACATCATTAGCATTTATTGTTGATAATATTCATAATATTTATTGAATTTTTGATTTGATTTATTTGAACATTTACTAATATAAGACATAATAGTAACAATATTATTAAATCCACTGATGACAAAAATTAAAAAAAAATTAAAATAACGCAATATAAAAACTGAGTCTGAAATCAATGTTATTTTTTTTGTTTAACATTGTAACGTGTTTGACCTTGAATCGTCGAGGTTGTTCATGCCCCTATAATTGCTTTAGCAACTATATATAGTAGGTATACCTATACAATACAGTAGCAAAAAATACCATTTAGATAGGCTAAATTACAAACGGTTTTATGTAGTGCCTATACCTAAGTACCTAACTATAGTTAAGACTTTGAAAGCATTGAGATATTTTCTTAGCAAACATTCTTTTTCCTTTCATTAGAGTAGGTATTTATGTATACTTTATAGTACCAAACATATAGGTAGGTGTATAATAATATTATATTACTAATGCGTGTATAAGGTACAACTATACGTATTAAGTATACTTTTATATTTACCTACTATACTTATAAAAATCAATAAAATGTGTAATCTGAAAGTCATATTATTTTTATTTTATTACAATCAATTAATTAATAATTAATGGTAACGGCTATAGTAACACCAGTTTTGTAATTTATTATATTGGCATTTAATATTTTATAATTTGTGTCTTTCTTTGAACAGGTAATTCTGTCAAAAGTACTTCTAGTAAAAAGTAGATTTAAAATAATTAAAATATCAACTTCAAGTTTTATTTTTATGGCTTATCGATAATAAAATACAACTAAAAACATTATTTGATTTCTATGTGTTAATAAATTGGCCAAGTTAACAATTTTAATAATATATATTACAGTTATGGTCAAACAGTTCAAACTTGGTCATATTGGTGTATTGCGTATATATACTATACAATATACATGTTTAAATATAATTCTAATATTTAAAATTGAAAATATGCTTAAGTTAATGAGAAATACGAACTATAATAAACATATTTTAGTATGAATTATGATGTAAGAAAAAAAACTGCATACATTTAGTTTCGAAGTGTATTGTGGTGAGAAGTAGTATTATTATGTATTACATTAATAGTTTTATGTTTTGGATAAAACTAACTTAACACGTTGGTGGACAGTTGCCGATATTACTGCTATAGCAGTAATATTAAATGTTGATGTCAGGGGTCGTTTTTAAATATTACTGCTATAGCAGTAATATAAAAACCGTCCAAAAAGTGTCATTACTGCTATAGCAGTGATATTTTCAATGGTCTCTTATGAGAAAGGAAATTTTACTGACCCCGGACATCTCATCGGGCCATCGGGCACTCTATTTTTAGCTTATGTATACACGTATTTATAATACATGTACACGTATTTTCCATTTTTATTCTTCAGCTGATAAGTTATAATTTATATTTCGATAATATTTATCAATATATACAGTTAATGTTTTTTTTTCATTTGATTGGCACAACACAGGATACACAATTCGTAATATTAACATTTAAATGTAATACTGCTATAGCAGTAATTTTTAAATTGAAAATGTGATGTCGGAGGTCAGTACTGCTATAGCAGTACTAAAAATATTACTGCTATAGCAGTAATGAAAAGTGTCGTTTTAAGGATAGTTTTTTTTCGACGACGGCCACAAGACTGTCCATCAACGTGTTAAGTTTTAATATTTTATTAGTTCTATAGACCTCTTTAGTTAGATACTATTTATTTAAAGTCAGAAAGTTCGGTAGACGGTAGGTAGGGACGCCACTGCTAAGTATTTAGTTGGAATAAGTATTGCTGGTTATAAAAAAAAAGTTTTAAGAAATTGTACTGTAAGTATAGTAAATAGTAAGTAGATATTAATATATAATATATATATATATATATATATGGAGATATTGTGTCCTTAAACTAATTTTATATTTAGAAACTAATAATTTCTTAATTTGTTTACGTAATTTAAATTCGACTAGTTGGAAAAATTGACTAATAATTTTTATCCAGTCATGTAAAATGATATTCATAACAACGCACATAGGATTGTTATTTACATGATCAGCGTTTTCTTTTAGTCAGCCGACTACTATTGGTTTTCGTGTAAACTTTTGTGTAATATAATAATACTATAATATAGACGATTGTAAAATAATAATTATTATTTTTATGCCGAGTGCGCATTATTAACAGCCCACTGCGCAGGTACATTTTATGAACTTGTCGATGTTTAAGACATTATGGTAGTGGTTATAGTCCATAATTTATATATTGTGTAAATACAGGTGTACAGACCTAGGTAATGTGTTTTGTAAGAACTATATTCATTATTTATTTAATTTTAAATTTTACGAAATATCCGACTATTATCATAATAATATATGTACATATGTATTTATTTTGATAGGTAGTTACATAGCCTTTTTATTAGTTTAATAATATACTGATAACATTTTTTATACCAATATTACCACAAAAAGATACGTTAAATATAATTTAAATTCAACGTAAATAACAAATATTAGTTTGTAGGTACGTAAAAGTAAAAAGAAAAAAGAAAAATCTCTCGCAGAGACAAGCAATTAAATTGTTCAACGAAAGTACGTCATCGCTGGATTAATCATTGTGCGATGTGCCACTTTTTAGAATATACATGGGAATGTTTCACTAAACATAAAATAATGAACCTATAATAAAACATTTGTTTCACGTACACTCTGCTTTCTATTGGATGCTCTTTTATTACTGCAAAATGTAATGAAAAGTAAAAAGTAAGAAGTACAAAAATATATCAAACAATCTAAGAAGCTAAACACAAAATTTAATTGATAAGTACCTACGACTGTGGAAAACCGTGTTTATTTTTGCTTGCTTAAAATTATTATTACAGTGTAGCTAAGTATAAATAATCAATATTTCTTAGAGTACCTATACTGTTTTTCTCTGATATGTGCATATTAATATATATATTATATTTATATTTATTAATTTACCTTGTATACATATTTAAATACCGTTAACACTTTACTTTAAATTGTGCTGACCAACAATAATAATTATTCGTGATATTAGTTCTGAAGCAAAAATGTATTTGTAATAAATCAGGATAATTAGCTTAGGTAGTAATAGTATATGGCAGCCGGCGAGGGTCTCTAAACTACAGCCTATCTAGATTTTCGAACTCACCCGCCAAGCTAATACTGATGTTTAGATAATCTATTAGTTTTGAACTTATTAATTTTTTACTAAATCAGAAATAATAAACAATAATAAATATTATGAAATAATGAAACTATTTATATTTTTCTTAAATTGCATTATTCATTACTTTTCTATCCCTCTGAACAATTTTGGGCCACAATACAAAGCATATTGCAGATTCGGCCCGCGTAAAAAATGGTTGGAGACCTCTGGTAAATGGTATATTACATATAAATTTGAAAACTCGTCTATGATGCATAGAGAAGCTAAAAAATAAAAATAAAGTGTCATTCTTACCTTTATGGGAGCAATACTGCTGCTTTACCAGATGTGTTAATTACATGCACCTATCAAAGGCGGTCGTTTGAAGGTATATATGACGTATAATATAGATATACTGGAAGTTTGCAGCTAGACACAGTTTAAAACTTTTTTCACTTGAATTGTATTGTATATTATTGTGGTGACGACGATGAAATCGTTAACGAACTGTCTGATGTTATTTATTCTTATGTTATGTAAAACTACAAAATCCTGAATCGTTCTGGATGTAACAATATAAACCACGTGTAGCGCACTAGCGCATGTAATATTATAATATATAAAATTATAATAAAATGGTTTATAAGACGACTACGAAGACGAAAC